ATCCTACGTTAACCACTTCAACCCCTTAGGATGTACCTGTACGTCCTCGGTTAATGTGGCTGTATCAGGATCATGGCTGCAGCCATGATTCCAGTACCAAAAATGTCACTCGATCACTTCTACAGGGCACGAAATCCCTTGTGGTGGCAATAAAGTTGATAAAAAATTAATAAAATGTTTAAAATAGAAAAAAAAAATTACTGACCCCCTGTTCCTGTAATATTGAATATGTAACGAAATATACAAAGTTTAAACTAGGAACCTAGATGAGACTATCAACTTATACAATTTATAACTTTATAATTATATTAAAGTGATTCTAGAGGTTGTGTGTTATTTAAAAAAATAAATGTTTTATACTTACCTGCTCTGACCCTCCCCAATCTTACTCTTTTTGTGTACCCTGCCAACAGTCCTGGCTCCTAGCCCTGCTGAGTGCTCCAAGCCGCTCCTAAGCTGCCCTCCTGTGAATGGCAATGTCCATTCACATGCAGCAATGCTTGACTCCGCCCCCTGCTCTCTCCTCATTGGCTCTCTGGCTTTGATTGATAGCCAGACAGAGCCAATGGCTCCCACTACTATGTGATCCAATGAGGAGAGAGAGACTCTGGAGAGCCACTGCTCTCATGCACATCGCTGGATCAAGATTGGGCTCAGGTAAGTAAAAGGGAAGGGGGGGGAGAGCTGCACCCTTAAGGTTTTTTACCTTAATGCATAGAATGCATCAAGGTAAAAATTTGTGGTTCTAAAGGCTGAAGGTTTTTTTGAGTCCTAGTCCAATCCATGACTCGCTTTCCCTGTGTAAAAAAGCACAAGGAAGGTATGGAGACAAAAATGAGCATAACTGGAGCAGGTCTACAACTGAAAGAGCTAACTGTATTCCTTTGCACACAGCAAATAAAGATACACCTTGCTGATCTATACCGTTGTGCCTGCTTTTCCAGTGGACTAACTACAAGGTGTCAGATTTGTGATAAAAAAAAAATGTCTGCATGGCCAAGTTGCTTTTGGAGTCCATTTTCCCCACATCTTTTTATAACCTATGGTGTGTACAGTATATATAGGTGTATTTAGTGACTGCTGTTAGCTTTTAATTACTGTGCTACCAGTCAAAGTCTCACAGACCTGCATAAACATTAGCACAGTCCATCAAAAATTAAACCCTTCCATTACAGATGCTCTTCTGCATACAGCCTACCTTTAAAAAGTAACTTCATTCAGCTATCATCTATTGAGACAAATAAACCTTTTGGTCAAGATTATGTGAAGTCAGCTGTATAAAATTTACAATATAGCGTACATATTAAAATGGTCAGGAGTAGTTAAAGCAGACAGCAGGAATATATCGAGCAAGCTCAGACTCAGGATTTTCTTGGTGGGGCTCCATGGTGCGGTAGCTCTTCTCCTCCTGCGCTCAAGAGGCATCCACTGATTTGTACAATATTTCATGTCTGCTCCTTTTTTTTTTGTCTTGTCTTGTCTTCCCTGTCATCAGACTCTTCCCCACTCTATCCTATTTTGGGGAATCCCCATTTTGAACCGGGCCTCCTTCATGGTCCCTTTTATGTCTTTATTCCGTTCGGGGAGATTTCTGGCCTCTCATTTTATAATTAATGGCTCTTGGCCTTCTCTGTGCCCCGGCAGGTCCTTTCAACTTGCATTACTGTAAGGCCTTTCAAATGAGACATTTCTTGAGTTCTCTTCACCCTCCCGCCAGTTTTCGACACCAGCTTACCATATTGGAGGGCTTTTGTTCTGATGAGGGGGCTCTACCCCATGTTCTTTCTAAAGTTTATAACTTACTCCTGACACCCTCGCCGGGATTTACCTCCTCATATCTCCTGAAGTGGGAATCAGACCTTGGGAAACCCTTTTCGGAGACACAGCGGTCTTCTATCCTTTTACTCTCGCTGAAGTCATCTTCGTGCACAAGACTGCAGGAGGGCAACTTTAAGATATTGTCCCGTTGGTATAGAACTCCTGTGGTGTTGCGGAAGCTTTCTCCCTCCAACTCTAGTCTTTGCTGGAGATGCCAGGAAGCGGAGGAAACACTTCTCCATATATTCTGGTCATGCTCGCGGCTTGTGCACTATTGGGAGGGGGTGCTTCAGGTTATCCAAAAATTCACAGACTATTCCGTGCCTATGGATCCAGCATTTTTTCTGTTCCATGTCATCCGATATATCACTTAAGGCTTATAAGCGATCGGTTGTGCTTCATCTAATGAATGCGGCTAAGTTCTGCATTTCTCTATGTTGGCGGAAGATGCATTCTCCCTCTCTGGGGCTCTGGTTATGTACAGTTGAGGAAATTAACCATATGGAAGATTTGATGCTAACGCATCAACATAAGCGTGATGTCTACTCAAAAACATGGACTTTGTGGAACTTGTTTTTTTACTCGGAAGAGGGGAGGTCTCTTGGGAGAGGACTAATAGTGCCCAAGACAGGTTGGAGGAATCCCACCTCTCTCCATCTCCTTTGCTGCATGTTTTTGTAGGCACTAGGTGCTAAGCTCCTGCTCAGCCTGTAGGGCTTGGAGCCAGAAGTTGAGTAACCCCTCTGCAAAGCCTTCTGTATGAAGGCACGCCCCAACTTTTACAGCTTGGGCCTGATTATGTATCCGGACAGGTCCTTGGGTAGTTTGCCTCTTCGGTCCCTCAGTGCAGAGGATACCACTTTTTTGTCCACAGGGTAACCTCCTGTCCCTGGCACCTGCTTAAGTTGCCCTTCGCTTATGTGTTACTGCACAAAACAATGCAACTTTCCCTGTTTCTGTGGGATCTCTACAATCTGGGTCCTCCTATGTCCAAATGGGTTTCGACTTGCAACCCATTCAGACTCTCCCTTTCCCAAAAGGATCCTCCGTCCTTAATTTCTGTTAAACCATGTTTGGTACAGGGTACCCCTCAGCATGCTTCCTTGCTGTAGAGAATTTCTGACTTACAGGGTCGATCAGGACCTGTTCTGGCTGTGGTTTACCTTAACAAGGACCTGGTCATTCAGCGTCCTTTGGAAGCACCTGCTACCTCCTCAAAGCATTAGCCTTTGTTTTCTCCCTAATGCCATTTTGTGTCATCCCCCCTGTTGGAGATAGAGTACGTCCAGAGGACTTAATGGGACCTGATGATTTGGGCTTAGGTCCTCCGTCTATGGCTGTTCAACAGCCTCTTGAGGAAGATTCCCCAAATATCTCCCCTTGTTCTACCCTTAACCTCGTGAATGCTCTTGGCAGCGAGGCTAAATTGCCTGTTTCTCACATCACAGCTTTGGATAAGAACAAACAATTACTCCAGTGCTCAAAAGGACACAGTGATAATAGTGTAGGATCTATGTTTTCTCCGGGACAATGCTTTAGCAGTGCAGCCTTCATCAGACAGGGGAATCCAACCATATACTGCAAAAGAATACATGGGGCACAAACACTAGTGCGTTACCTAAGGTTTATTAAAAGATACTAAATAGCCGCTTACATACTCACAAAGAACAGAAGTAATACGCATAACAGTTTCCGATGGTCAACCAGCGTGGCACAAGGTTTCCAACTATTGGTGATGTTGCAAGCTAACGTGTTTCAATTACTCATCCCTTTCCACAGGGCTCAAGCCAACAAATGTTTGCCTCCCCATATATGTACCAGGCACCCTAGAGCTTCACCCTCTATTAGGCAGGGTTTTGCAGCATCAGATAAGGTCACTCCGGAAAAATAATACTTTTTTTTGTATAGAACAAACCTTCAATTTGATTAAAAATGAACAAATCCATTCATGGCATTCTCTCACAGTGAACGTGCACTTACAATCCCAGGTGAATTAACCAACTGATCCCAGCAGTACGTTATCTCACCCATGATGTATATCACTGCACAAAAAGAGGCAAAGCAGTGACAATGGCCCCGGGCACACTCACCACTATGGTGTGCACACCTGTCAACAGGAAGAGCGTCACGTCAGTTCCATAAGCCAGCAGGAAGCGAATGCAGACCATGACATCACCATAAGTCGAAACAATGTGCTCTACGCTGAAGCACAAGATGTCTGACAGGGGAAGAGGGGGGTTGGAGTCTTTATATACAGTATCTCACAGAAATGAGTACACCCCTCACATTTTTGTAAATATTTTATTCGATCTTTTCATGTGACAACACTGAAGAAATGACACTTTGCTACAATGTAAAGTAGTGAGTGTACAGCTTGTATAACAGTGTAAATTTTGCTTTCCCCTCAAAATAACTCAACACACAGCCATTAATGTCTAAACCGCTGGCAACAAAAGTGAATACACCCCTAAGTGAAAATGTCCAAATTGGGCCCAAAGTGTCAATATATTGTGTGGCCACCATTATTTTCCAGCACTACCTTAACTCTCTTGGGTATGGAATTCACCAGAGCTTCACAGGTTGCCACTGGAGTCCTCTTCCAGTCCTCCATGATGAAATCATGGCGCTGGTGGGTGTTAAGAGACCTTGTGGTCCCCCACCTTCTGTTTGAGGATGCCCCACAGATGCTCAATATAGGGTTTAGGTCTGGAGACATGCTTGGCCAGTCCATCATCTTTGCCCTCAGCTTCTTTATCAAGGCAGTGGTTGTCTTGGAGATGTGTTTGGGGTCGTTATCATGTTGGAATACTGTCCTGCGGTCCAGTCGCAGAAGAAAGGGGATCATGTTCTGCTTCAGTATATCACAGTACATGTTGGCATTCATGGTTCCCTCAATGAATTGTAGCTCCCCAGTGCCGGCAGCACTCATGCAGCCCCAGACCATGACACTCCCACCACCATGATTGACTGTAGGCAAGACACACTTGTCTTTGTATTCCTCACCTAGTTTCCGCCACACACGTTTGACACCATCTGAACCAAATAAGTTTATCTTGGTCCCATCAGACCACAGGACACGGTTCCAGTAATTCATGTCCTTAGTCTGCTTGTCTTCAGCAAACTGTTTGTGGGCTTTCTTGTGCATCATCTTTAGAAGAGGCTTCCTTCTGGGACAACAGCCATGCAGACCAATTTGATGCAGTGTGCGGCGTATGGTCTGAGCACTGACAGGCTGAACCCCCACCCCTTCAACCTCTGCAACAATGCTGGCAGCCATCATATGTCTATTTCCCAAAGACAATCTCTGGATATGACGCTGAGCATGTGCACTCAACGTCTTTGGTCAACCATGGCGAGGCCTGTTCTGAGTGGTACCTGTACTGTTAAACCGCTGTATGGTCTTGGCCACCGTGCTGCAGCTCAGTTTCAGGGTCTTGGCAATCTTCTTATAGCTTAGGCCATCTTTATGTAGAGCAACAATTATTTTTTTCAGATCCTCAGAGAGTTCTTTGACATGAGGTGCCATGTTGAACTTCCAGTGACCACTATGAGAGAGTGAGAGCTATAACACCAAATTTAACACACCTGCTCCCTATTTACACCTGAGACCTTGTAACATTGAGTCACGTGACACCGGGGAGGGAAAATGGCTAATTGGGCCCAATTTGGACATTTCCACTTATGGGTGTACTCACTTTTGTTGCCAGCGGTTTAGACATTCATGGCTGTATGTTGAGTTATTTTGAGGGGACAGCAAATTTACACTGTAACCAGAAACCGGTGCTCAAATCTATTGCTCTGAGGAAGGGAGTTCGACTCCCGAAACACGTTAGCACTGTATCCAAGGACGCATGCTGTCCACAATTGGCACCTTTGACTTCTTGTCTGTTTTTATGACCTTTATGGCTTGTGAGTATGTTTTTTTCATCTTTTTAATAAATTTATAGTTTATGCGTTAATGCACGAGGAGAGTGCGCTCTGTTTTGTTTTTTTTTCTGCTAAATTTACACTGTTATGCAAGCTTTACACTCACTACTTTACATTGTTGCAAAGTGTTATTTCTTCAGTGTTATCACATGAAAAGATAAAAATATTTACAAAAATGTGAGGGGTGTACTTCTGTGAGATACTGTATATATAATATCACTATGACCTGTCTGTTGCCAGGTGAACCAATACCCATATATTATAAAAACAATATACATTTTGATACAGGTACAAATACATATCAAAAAAAGATAAGACACAAAGGGGACAAAAAAGAAGAGAAAGATGCATCTACTTAATGGTTGTTTAATAGATTAAATAAAATTTAATTTAATAGGTTAAAACAGGGTAAGCAGAATTACCCAAAAATATCATAGATGTGTTTACTTATTAACCCCTTCCCGCCGGCGCCTCCCAGGCCTTTAAGAGTTTCAGATGCCGGGAGGCGGGGCGGGTGGGGCATGGTTTAGGGATCATGTGACGCGTCGTCACGGCGGTCACATGATCGGGAAAGGTCCTGATTGAAAGAGCAGACCAGGACCTTTCCGTGAGTACCGGATGTGTGCTGGGAGCGCGCAGGACACGCGCTCTCAGCACATATGTTTTTTGTTACATGAAAGCAAATGTGCGGCCGCTCGGCGTCTAGGCCCAGATGCCGGGAGGCCGCACATTTGTGTGCGGCCAGCGTAAAGGGGTTAATAAAATAGTAGTAAGTAGAACCTGATATAAATATATAAAAAATATACTTGTATAAAACACATTTATACTTTTAAAACAAACTCACATTTATACTCCTGCATCTACAGTACTTACAGAATAAAACCGGGCAGACAAGATTACCCCAAAATATCAGATGTGTAACTATTAATAAGAAAATAATAAGTATAACATGATATAAATATATTAAAAATATACATGTATATAAAAAAAAAAAAACACATTTATACTTCTAAAACAAACTCATATTTATACTCTGTCTGGAGGGGACTTAAAGCGGAACTTCACCCTCTCTGTTAACATAAACTATTTTTAATCCTTATCTTGCTAGTATTAGTAAATTGATTGGAAAGTATATAATTTACTTGTTTCAAACTTTTTTTACATTTCTTCAGTTGCTTTCTGGTTTCCATGCCTAGGCACATGATGTCATACATGCCAGGAGTCTTCAGGTGGGGTTTTCTCAGCTAAGCACACCCTCCTGCTTGCATGCTTCAGTTAAGGGCAGATGGATTCTAGGAAGTAACTGTTACATGAATCATCTGCACTTACCCAAGATGGCCAAAGTCAGAAATTCTAGGGGGTGTTTTCAACATGATTTCTCAGCAAAATAAAACATGGAGACATGGATGGATTAGTGCGTTTGCTATAATTAAACATAATAGAACTAAACCGCGTTTTTGGTTTGTGGTTGTCAGATGCAGTGATTTTCCACTTTAAATAGCACCATACAAAATCACAAAGAATGGTGTTCGTGCCATTCATATTTAATTTAATAAATAACCATTAAGTAGATAAATCTTTCTCTTCTTTTTTTGTCCCCTTTGTGTCCTCTCATTTTTACATATGTATTTGTACTTGTATCAAAACGTATATTTTTATAATTTATTTCACATGTTCGAAAGAGTTTGATGTATCTGTATTGGGCACCCGGCAACAGACAGGGCTATTTTTATATATATGTCAATATTCCAACCCCCCTTCCCTTTTCGGACATCTTGCGATTCAGGGGAGGGCGCATTGTCCTGATTTATAGTGACGTTATAGTCCACGTCGCTTTCTGCTGGCTTCTGGAAGTGACGTGGCGTGACACACTTCCTGTTTACAGGTGTGTACGCCATAGCGGTGTGTGTTCCAGCGGCCATTGCTGCTACTTTGTCTCTATCTGTGGGTCCAGAATTTCACAGACGAGGTGATTTACATCATCCCACCGGGATTGGTTCAGTCATTCACGTGGGTTTGTAAGTGCACATTCACTGTGAGAGCACTCCATAAATGGATTGGTTAATTTTAATCCGATTGAATGTTTGTTCTATGAAAAAAACTTGTTCTATTTTTTCTATATAACCTTTAACCTTATCTGATGCTGCAACATCCTGCCTAACAGAGGGGTGGAGCTATAGGGTGCCTGGTACATATATTAGGTGGCGAACTTTGTTGATTTGAGCTCTGAGGAAGGAGAAGGCGTGTGGGGATGTATACCTTGGTGTCAGAGGATGGAGGCAGATAAACCACTTTCGGGCCCCCGCCTGTATTGTACTGCAGACGGGAGGCAGCTACAGGACCAGTGACATACCCGTAGATTGCTGGTCTTTTGCCAGCAGAGGCTGGCGCTGTGCCAGACACAGCAGAATGAGAATCCTGGTAATATGAACCCTGTGTTAGATATGCAATCACATGATCACAATGACACAGTTTGTATGACTCAATCTGATTCATAAAAGCTTTGCTTCTGTTCCTGGAGAGCTGTGATGGTCCACAGCTCTGACATGACACATGGGGCCAATCACAGCACCCTGTACCCTGGGATCAATGCTATTAAGGGTCTCTGGATGTCAGGAATCCCCCTGCTGGCCAAGGAAAAGTTTATTCTCATCAGAGTGACAGCTTGCCAGATGATCCACATAGGTTCAACTTTCTAGGACCAGGAGTGGTCTGACAACTCAAATGCGCATATTATGCGCTTTCTGGTGAGTGCATAATATTAGACACTTTTCAGCACGGAGTCAACCACGTTTTGCACGGTTTATTGGGACTATTGCATTATGTTATGAGGACACTTAAATCACTACTAAGCACTAGTAATTCATCACGTATTACCTTATATGTTACTTTATATTAACCAATTGTAGCGCTGCATGTGTTGTTATTATAGTGTGAAGGTTTGAGGTTTGTGCCTTTCATGCCAGCTGCTTGTTATTCATCTCCAAGCGCTCGTTAATTATTCTTTTTACCCTGTACCATGTGACCAGCTGGAACCAATCACAGATCACTATTATATTGAACTCTTATGAACATGACACATTCATGATAGTTCAAAGCAAGGTCATGCAATGCAAAGTGTTACTATGGTAAGATTGCACTACTCTGACTAAAGTGAAAAAAAAGAAAAGAAATAATGTTTTAAAAAATGTATGTATATTTTTTTTTTACTTGCCCGCCAACAACGTGTGGGCGAGCAGAAGCTCTGGGCAAAGAAACGTAAGATTAAGTTGTTTTTTTTTCTTTACGGGTGTGCAGGCACATGAGTGTGTGCCCCCTATGCCATCCAGGAAGAGAACAAACAAACACGACACTGAGTAAAAGCACTACATTTTACACACACGTTAGATTAGCACATTTGCCTCTTTGATTGCCCCTATTAACCCTTTGATCACCACGTCATCCAGCCAGTGCCATTAGTACAGTGTAAGTGTATAGAATTTTTCACTGATTACTGCCACTAGCGACATCAGATAGCGCCAGGGTCAGCTAGTTTTAGATTGCCCGCACACTATCGCACTCAAGCTCTAGGTTTCTGATCACCGCCAATACTAGTGTAGTGTTTGTACAGATCTATATATTGATCACAAACAGAACTATACTAGTGCCTCCTTTTTATAGTGTCCACCAAAACGCAGTTTTGGCAGGATCAGCCCTGTTCACTGCCAGCACTAGCGTTTAGCCCCTCCGCTGTTTTTCATGGCTGATTTGTATCAATTGATTGTAGACCAAAGCAGTTTATGCGCACAATACGACGACGCCCACCCCCCAAATTCAGCTCTTGCCATATAATTTGCATGGAAACCTATCACAGTTTCCAAATGTAAAACATTTTTGGGCCTCAACATGGGCATTACAAAAAAGAATGAATTGTGGTCATATTGGTCCACAGATCCAATTCATCATATGCCTATATTCTCTGCTATTACATATATATCCAACATTGACCAGCACTGTACTGGTTTGTTGCTGGACTTTTAGTGGTTATAGCGGGATGATGCCTGTAGCTACAGGCATCATCCTGATATTGTTTTTTTTTTCAGCTGGAGGTTGGCTTTCATGTAAAAACAATCCTAGTTGCTAATCAGATGCTGGATAATTTATACAAGCAGCAGAAAGGGACTCCCGCCGCCTTCCAAGGTTTTCTTGGGCTTGACCATCCCACAGGGGAACCCAAAAATGCAGTCAGCAGTTCTGCTGGCTGGCAATAGAGCTGATCGGAGACTGGAATGCCTCCAATCATCTCTATGGTCTAAGAGACCGGAAGCTATAAGCATTTCATCATTTCCGTTGTGCCAGATATAAACAGCACCATTTTAAAATTGGGAAAGCATATGATCACACTGATCTTGGTGTGATCAGGTTCTTGAAGGGCAGAGGAGAGATCTGGAGTCTAATATACCCCAGATTTCTCAGAAAAGAGTGCCTGTCACAGCCTAATGCTATCACAAGGATATTTACTTTTCCTGCGATAACAATTAAAAAAAAAAAAAAAAAATGAAAGTGACAGTGTAAAAATATTAAGTAAAAAAAAGTAAATAAATAAATAATTAAGAAAAAAAAAACATTCACCCCATCCCCGTGCTTGCGCGCAAAGGCACACGCAAGCAGCAGTTCCATGACAGTATGTAAACCGAGATTGCACCATGCATGTGAGGTATCACCACGAATGTAGTAATTCTAGCACTAGACCTCCTGTGTCTAAAGTGGTGACCTGTAAAGGCTTTTAAAGTGTCGCCTATGGATATAAAAAATTTACTTAATTTGTCGCTGTTGCCCAAGCATGTGCAGTTTTAAAGGATGTCATGTTTGGTATCCATTTACTCGGGGTAACATCATCTTTAATATTTCATCAAACAATTGGGCAATATATTGTGTTTTTGTGCATTAAAATTCTAAAAAGTGTATTTTTTTTCTTCAAAAAAATTGCTGCGCAAATACTGTGTCACATAAAAGTTTCAACACCCATTGTTTTATTCTCTAGGGCCTCTGCTTTAAAAATATATATATACTGTTTGGGGGTTCAAAGTAATTTTTCTAGCGAAAAAAAAAAAACCCAGTTTTTTTTCAAGTTAACAAAAGTGTTAGAAAAGGCTTGGTCTTCAAATGGTTAGAAAAGTGGGTAGAGTGCGGCATAAGTTTCTAATGTTGGTCCTGAAATGCCAGGATAATAGAAGCACCCGCCCCCCCAAATGACCACTTTTTGGAAAGTAGACACTCCAAGGTATTTGTTAAGAGGCATGGTGAGTATTTTGCAGATCTCATTTGTTGCCACAAGTTTTTTGGTACATGTTTTTGCTAAAAAAAAAAAAAAAAAACAATAATTGCATACGTTAATTGTAGACTTTATAGCGTCTAAAAACTATGGTACATTTACTGGAATTTTTTTTTTTTTTTTTATACTAGTAATGGCAGCCATCAGCAACTTGTAGCGGGACTGCAAAATTGCGATAGACATTTTTTAACTAACTGACACTTTGTGGGAACCAGAGACACTAATACAGTTATCAGTGCTAAAAACATGCATTGATCACTGTACTAATGACGCTTGTTGGGCAGGGGTTAACATCTAGGGTGATCAAAGGGTTAAGTGTGTGTCTAGCTATGTGCTTGATGTACACTAGGTGTTCCTTTTACTTGGAGAAATGATGTATTGTGTTCTCAGCTCTGCAAACACAGGATTCATGACTATCCCCTGTCACAACAGAACTGTATCTATGTAAACACAGATACAGCTATGTTCTTCCTCCCTGACTGATGACCTGTAGGTGCCATTGAGCACATGGTTGCTGGGGTTTGTAGATTGTTTTTTGTGCTGTGACAGTTCACAGCTGAAGATTGCCTCCTGGAGTGCGCGCAAGTCCCCAGTGTGGCAGAAGTGCAAAATGACGTTTATTTACGTGATTTTGCACAGGAATGCCACCCTGTAGCATTAAAACTGCTATAGGACCAAGGGAAAATGGTTAAGTGGCAATGCTCCAGGATTCTCACTGTAGAACTCGATCTGTGATTTTCCGCTGATTTTCCTCCCTCCCACCTGCCGCAAGCAGTTGCATGGAGAGAAGAGCAAAACCATGCGGATCTGAAATCCTTGTGGCTTTCTGTCCTCTATTTGCAGGGTTGACAGTAACAGCTAGGCCGCTTTTGATTGGTCAGCAGGTTTTCTTTTTGTCAGTGACTGATTCAATTGTAAGACCTTTCAGTAATTGCTTGACATCATAGAGTGTCTAGCCCCCTCACCATCCATTTAGGCATCAGCCAGTGGAATTTTTTATATATAAATAAAAAATTGTATTTACCACTGTTGTAGGCATTGATTTAGTATTTTAGAGTGGTTTAGATGACTGGCCAATTTAGGATTGGATTTTTCAATATATGTTAATTTTTAGCTTCTTTCTTAAGGCTGCCAACATGCCAGACTCTGAGTTGTTTGAGTTGATCTCTGAGAATCGCTCCATGTCCAGACGACTAGAGGATTATGGAGAGCAAAAATCCACTTCTATCAGTACTGCCAAACGTCTTGCTGAGTTTTTAGGAGACCAAATGGTGAAGGATGCTGGACTTAGTTGTCGTTATGTTATATCTCGCAAACCTGAAGGGTCTCCTGTCACAGAGAGGTGAGATGTCACTCTTTTGTCATTTATTTGGTGGGTGAAAGAAGTATATTGGATCGATGGTTTAACCACATTAGAATGGAATATACCCATCCTAACCTTTTCCCAACTACAGTACCTTTTTAACAAAGCCTTGTAGCTATGCTGAAATATAAGATTAGTATGAAAATAGAAAGCATAATATTTTGTTTAGCAAATATAGCCCATATCACGTGATTTACACAAATAGAAAGTTTGGCACTTAAAATGTGTCTTCAAGAGGAGCACTTTACAGCCTACCCTGTGCATCCTGTTATAACCCTAAGACACATGCAAGTGCCATACTTCTTATTTGCTCATGTAGTAAAGTATCATGGATGGCATCTGTGCTGCGTGCTCTGACTTGTCATGCTATGGCATAATTGTTTTAAATAAATACTTTATTTTAGACAGTTACCATAGACAAAGAAGTTAACAGGGTGACAAAGTGATAAACTAGTCAGAAAAGAGGTCAGACATCCCAGTCAATGGTACATGAGGTCATATACCATACTACCATAGAGGTAACATCTTACATCAGCTTATGAAGTAACCAGTCATCCCTCCTAGATCGTGGAGCATTATCCCAGACCCAATAGTAAATCATGAGTGGAATGACAAATGTAAGAGTAGACAGTCAAGGTAAATATAACAAAATATGTAAAAAAAGAAATCAAGGATGCAAAAATTGAAAACTAACAGTTTGTAAAAGAGACAAACCCCCAAAAATACGTCAAATATATTAATAGTATAGGTAAATAAAAGCAGACAAGCGAGCGCTAAAACATGAGCTGCTAACGCACCAAAAAGGCAACCAAAAAAACCTCCAAACCAGTAAGATAAGTAAAGGTGCAGCGCTAAGACACTGATGACCATCAAAAAGTATATGCAGTGCAAAACCAGTGCTAATGATGAACCATTCATAAATAAATATTTAAAATGGATTGCTATTATGTTAATAGTGGTAAAGTGATGATAATAAATAACTGTCAGTGTCCATACAAATGATCAAACAATGTCCATAAAAGTGACAAAGTGCAAAATAAGTGCTAATGCAAAAAAAGTTCTAATAATGAATCATTCATATAACAGCAGTATAAAGTGCTAATGATCATAAAGTGGCAATTGTGAACAAATGACAATATCAGATTGTCAATATCATATAAAACACAATTCAATGTCCATAAAAGTGACAATGTGGAGATCCAGATGAATATGATCTCAAGTAAGTGCTTCACATGCTAGAATGAATATTCGGTGATGTGCCAGGAATGTGGTAAGATTACGCACTCACCACATGCGTTATATTAATACGCATTCATAAGTAATGTGGTCAGCCGGAGGTCCCCTTAAGGATGCACACAGCCTGGTCTGGTCAGAAGGATCCCCTTCCCCTGGGTTATCTGCAGCACCTCAGCCGTCCTCTGTGATGGGCTCTGTGGGTTTGTTAGCTCATAAAGAGCCAAAGAAAAGGATGCCCATAGTGTAGTAATTTCTACAATCGTATTTATTTAATCCATCCGTAGAGTAAAAAAACCTTGCTTTACTGCATCCTTAAGGATGCATCTGGTGAGTGCGTAATCTTACCACATTCCTGGCACATCACCGAATATTCATTCTAGCATGTGAAGCACTTACTTGAGATCATATTCATCTGGGTCTCTACATTGTCACTTTTATGGACTTTGAATTGTCTTTTATATGATATTGACAATCTGATATTGTCATTTGTTAACAATTGCCACTTTACGATCATTAGCACTTTATACTGCTGTTATATGAATGATTCATTATTAGAACTTTTTTGCATTAGCACTTATTTTGCACTTTGTCACTTTTATGGACATTGTTTGATCATTTGTATGGACACTGACAGTTATTTATTATCATCACTTTACCACTATTAACATAATAGCAATCCATTTTAAATATTTATTTATGAATAGTACATAGGTAAAGTCTGAGCATGTAGACCAGGGGTCCTCAAGCTACAGCCTGCGAGCCAGATACGGCCTCCCAAAGCCATTTATCTGGCCCACCAAACCAGCCGGAGAAAAAAAAAAAAAAACGAGGGGGAAAAAAACGGCGGCAAATAGCTAGGCTCCTCACGAGGACCCAGCGAGCGGCAGCCTGGAAGTCCCTGATTTCACCTGCTGCAGCCAGAGGAGCAGCAGGAGAGGAGGAGAACACACCAGGCACCAGGTACAGTGCATTGTGGTATCCAGTGTGTTAGTGTACAGTGCATTGCGGTGTCCAGAGCGTTAGTGTATTGCGGTGTCCAGTGTGTTACTGTACAGTGCATTGCGGTCCAGTGTCCAGAGCGTTAGTGTATTGCGAGTGTCCAGTGTGTTACTGTACAGTGTCCATTGCGAGTGTCCAGTGCATTACAGAGTACAGTACATTGCGGTGTCCAGTGCATTACAGAGTACAGTGCCTTTGGCGTCTAGTACATTAGAGTACAGTGCATTGCTGTGTCCAGTGCATTACAGAGTACAGTGCATTGCAGTGTCCAGTGCATTACAGAGTACAGTGCATTTGGTGTCCAGTGCATTTCAGTGTACAGTGCATTTTAAATATTGTATTTTTTTTTTTTTCCACTACAAATAACGTGTGCGGTGCACATAGGAATTTAATATTTTTTTTCAAACTATAGTCTGGCCCCCCAACAGTGTTAAGGTCCGTGAACTGGCCCCCTGTTTAAAAAGTTTGAGGACCCCTGATGTAGAAATTTTATTAGTTATTTTTGAGTTGGTTACTGAGGACATAAAGAAGGCTAATTTATTAAATACCTTCTTCAGCTCTGTGTATACAAAGGAAAATGTGGAGGCTAAATTCCTTAATGGGGTTAATATTGAAATAGCCCCAAAAGATACACAATGGCTCAAAACTGACATGCTCCAGGAACATTTAGACAAAATAAAGTAGAATAATGCACTGGGGCTAGACAGCTTACACCCAAGGGTCCTCAAAGAGCTGAGCTCTGTTATATGTAAGCCTTTGTTCCTATTTTTTAGAGCCCCCTTAATGACTGGCATGGTACCACTGGATTGGCGTGAGGCCAATGTGGTGCCAATATTTAAAAAGGGAACAAAGCCTTTACCAAGAAACTATAGACTGGTTAGTTTACCTTCTATAGTCAGAAAGATACTTGAGTTAAATAAAAGCCCATATAGATAAGTTTTTGCTAGAAAAGATTTCAAGCAGTAGTCAACATGGATTCACAAAGTACTGAAGTTGTCAAACAAATCTGATTTCTTGTATGAGCAGGTAAGGAAAAATTTAGACAAAGGAGTGGCTGTGAACACAGTATACTTGGATTTTGCCAAAGCATTTGACACAGTTCTCAACACGTATCTAATCTTTAAATTACAGTCCACAGGCTTAGAAAACTGAGTTTGTAAATGGATAGAAAATAGGCTAAAAGACCATATTCAGAGAAAAGCACTTGATGATTCATACTCCGAATGGTCTTCTAGGTTTTTATTATTGTTCCTCAAGGTTCTGTTTCGGGGCCTTTACTTTTTAACATTTATAAGTGATATATAGGGTTTGGGATTAAAAATACATATTTGCAGATGACACCAAGCGATGCAGTGAAATTACGTCCTTAAGGGATGTGTCCGACTTACAAGCCAACCTCAGTGTACTATTTTATTGGGCTACTATGTGGACGTTCAGTTTAGTGTTGATAAATGCAAAGTTATGCACTTTGGGGCTGAAAACATGCATGAATCCTACATACTAGGAGAAAAGCTCGGGAGTCAATTGTGGTGATAGATCTGAGTGTTCTGGTAGAACATAGAATTTAATAATAGCATGCAATGCCAAGCTGCAGTTTCTAAAGCCAGCAAAATGCTTTCTTGTATCAAGAGGTGTAGGCTTCAGGGAGAAAGAGTGAGAGACATTTTGCCATAATGTGAGACAGAAAGCTGTTGATCTGTGAGATAAGTAAGGCTAAGGGTTCAAAACGGGGAATACAGGAGTATAGTTTGGATTTCAACAGAATGTCCTAATTTACTGGTACAGATGGGAGCTTCTTTTTAACTGCAACCATTTTTATCTAACACAAGCAAAAAGCGTTATTACACCCAAACATAAAAATGTAATATAGTGCAGCTTACCGATCCTTAGCTGTAGTGCCTACATTAGTTTTCATTTACATTCAGAATGGGTAGATTCCCTTTAAAGCAGATCTGGCTGTCCCTGGGATAGTTCATCCTGTCATGGAGAGCACGAATGTCTTGAACCTTGTGTTTCAGTCATGTTGGCTTATTAGAAGCAATGAGACAGATGTCTGCAGACTCTGGCTACATGCTTAAGTCACTGGTTTTGAGGGAAATCGCCCCTTCAGACCAATTCTTGACATAGTCTTTAGTGATCAGAGTACTTCCTACCTCAATGCAGGAAAGGGAGAAGGAATCCCACTCCCACTGTTCCTACAGACTCTGGCATTGGTTCTTCAGGTATCTTGTGTTCTAGATGGCTCCCAAATTCTTGGGTCTATGGCTGTTGTCCACCACTTTGGTCTGCTTTTGAACATTCTGACTGTTCCTAAAGTTCTGTGTCCCTCAATGGCTGATAAACAAAATGAGATTTTTTTTGTGCTTGCTGTAAAGACACAGGTCCTCTGTGTGCGGTGTTTCTTTCTTTCTTTTTTTTTTTTTTTTTTTTCCCCTTGCCTTTTAACCTTCCTTTCTTAGAAAACTGAGGCATACTGAGTAGAGGAGAGGTTATACTGGGAGCTGGCTTATTTTCAGTGTCCCAAGCTCCTGTAGGCAACAGTAGCAGCCAAGATGTGAGTGCTGATGATGATGTCAGAGGTACACTAGCTCATATTTGTAGGATATTTGCACTGAGCTTGTTTGTCCTTTTTGTATTTGTCTTACTTTCTAGAGCCATTCCACTTGCAATTTTCCAAGCTGAGGTGGGAGTGAAGAGACATTACCTGCGCAAATGGCTGAAAAATCCTTCCCTGCAAGACTTAGACATTCGTTCGGTCAGTGATTTAAAGGCAGCTTTTTTTGTTTTTCCCTTAAAGGATAAGTTCACTTTTGTAAACATGTTACACCTCATATTTAGGGTGTAACCTGTTCAGCATCTGCCTGGTCTCCCCCCGATCCTCCCTTTGATAGCAGGCTGGGGACCTTCTTCCTGCACCGGCTGTCACAATTCAAAAAGCGCATGACCATGCAGGGCTTCGCTCCCGTGTCAATCTTAAACATAGTCCTTTGCGGCTGACCGCTTGTAGTTCTCAATGAACTATCAGGGCGCTCATGAGCGCTTTAGGTAGTTAATTGATCTTCCTGTCATTCAGTAACTGCCTGCCCACATTGGAGGTATGGGCAGACAGCTACACAGACAGTCTGCAGGAGCCTGACACTACACCTACAACCTGCTGATCACAGATGCATTGCTGTAGAAGCTCCCTATATATATGCAATTCTTTTGCATTTAAAAAATTTGCTTTTTTTGTATAAATTTTTTTTTTAAGGTGAACCTATCTTTAATAGAAACCTAATCCTAAGCACTACAGGAACTGCCATTGCTAATATACTTTCTAGGCTAAGTTCCTGTTTGTGATCATGTTTATGTTACACCCATTAATATGGTGTAATATAAAACATGGTCACATTCACCATGACCTTCTCCATACAGCATTCTGTAATATTTTCAATTTGTCATTGCTGTGCATTGTTCTGCCCACACAGTCATATCTTCCATTAAGAAAAATCTGTGAGTTGAAGTCCCACCTGCCACCGCAGCAGCAGATCTTAATAAAGCACAGCTGTGGTGAAGTCACTGCACTTCTCCAGCCCCTTGACAGTAGGTCCATGCCTCCTGTATAGCCCTAGGACAGGAGTCTGCAGGTACTTGGACTGCACTGATAGTTGTTATAATGTACTACAGGCACAAGTGAAAAATGTATTAACAGGTTCCCGCCCGGCCTATAACCTGATGGCGGCCGGCAAAACACCTCCTCCCTCCGGGTGGACACCATATGGCGTCTTTTCAGGCCATCCATTGTATACAAGTGTCTAGCTGTGAATGGTCACAGCGATCACATGCACAACCTGGGCCAATCACAGCCCAGCTGTGGCCAAATCACAGTTAAGAGAAAAAAAAAAATCCTGAATGAATCGATTTCATTCAGGTAAATGCTTGTGTAAAAAAAAAAAAAAAATACTGATCACTTCTCCAAAGTAGTACAATGTTACTATGGTAACATGGTAACATTATACTACTTTGGTCATAGTGAAATGTGAAAAAAAAAAAATCTTAAAAAAAAGAAAAAAAAAGTAATAAACAAATAAAAAGTTTAAAAAAAAAAAATTATCAAATTTTTTTTTTTTCTGTACTGTCACCAGTCAGTGTCCCTGATCACTGCCATGCCAGTTATATGATAACGCTGTACTGCACTGGTGACAGTATGTAAAAAAAAAAAAAAAATAGTAAACCTTTTTTTATTCATTTCCGAAAAATTATGACAAAAAAATTGAAAAAAATTGAAAAAAACTCGCCATGCCTCTTGTGAAATACGTCGGACTGTCTACTTTGCAAAAAGGGGTCATTTGGGGGGATATCTGTACTGTTCTGACATTCTTGGACCTCAAGAAATGAGATTGGCCGTCAATACTTCAGGATTGATCAATTTTCAGATATATCCCATAGTTTGTGAACTCTATAACTTTCCTACAAACTAAATACTAATTTGGGTTATTTTCACCAAAAACATGTAGTAGAATACATTTTGGTCTAAATTTATGAAGAACAATTATTTATTTGCAAACTTTTATACCAGAAACAAAGAAAAAACGCCCAGCGGTGATTAAATACCACCAAAAGAAAGCTCTAGTTGTGTGAAGAAAATTATAAAATTTTAGATTGGGTACAATGTTGTATGACCGCGCAATTGTCATTCAAAGTGAGAGCGCTGAAACCTGAAAATTGGCCTGGACAGGAAGGGGGTAAAAGTGCCCTGTATGGAAGCGGTTAAATGCACATTTTTTTTCTTTTCTCAATGTGAGTGCATTTATTAAAGGTAAACTTGATGCCTTGAAATTAAGAATACAAATTGCCTGGCAGTCTCTGGATGGAATACTTTCTAAGTCACTGACTTGAAACAAGTATGCAGATTTTAAAAAGTTATGGCAGAAGCTCCTTATCTGCATAATTTTAGAATCGGTAACTCAGCGTAACAAAAGCATTTGATCCACACTTTCAGTACAGGTTCCTTTAAATGCCCTTCATATATTTTTTTTGTCTATCCTTCTTGTAGATTCTAGACTGGGATTATTATATTGAGCGACTGGGCAGTGCTATCCAGAAGATCATTACTATTCCTGCAGCATTACAGCAGGTACGACCAACCTTTCCACATCTTCTAGATCAGTGGTTCTCAAGCTTCCTAATGCCGCGACCCTTTAATACAGTTCCTCATGTTGTGGTGACCCCCAACCATAACATTGTTTACCCAGTAATTATAATTCATGAAGTGTCGTTTTACCTCCAATACTGCTGCTTTCAGCACAGTAGCTGCTTTTAACAGAGTAGCTGCTTTCAACACAGCAGCTGCTTTCTACACAGTAGCTGCTCTTTACACACCAGAAATATGTTTTTTCCGATGGTCTTAGGCGACCCCTGTGAAAGGGTCGTTCGACCCCCAAAGGGGTCGTGACCCACAGGTTGAGAACCACTGCTCTAGATATATTTGTTAAATGCCAAGAAATGCTTTGTGTGTGTGTGTGTGTGTGTGTGTGTGTGTGTGTGTGTGTGGGGGGGGGGGGGGGGGGGGTGTGTGTGTGTGTGGGGGGGGGGGGGGGGGGGGGGTGTGTGTGTGGGGGGGGGGTGTGGGTGTGTGTGGGTGGGGTGTGTGTATACATGCACTCACAGGCCACTTTATTAGGTACTCCTGTTCAATTGCTTGGTAACACAGATTGCTAATCACACAACTCAATGCATTTAGGCATGTAGACGTGGTGAAGATGACTTGCTGAAGTTCAAACGAGCATCAGAATAGGGAAGAAAAGAAATGTAAGTGATTTTTGAATGTGACATGGTTGTTGTTGCCAGAAGGGCTGGTCTGAGTTTCAAAAACTGCTGATCTACTGGGATTTTCACGCACAGCCATCTCCTAGGGAAATCGAGGTAACGTTTTTCCAATCCTCTATTGTCCAATTTTGGTGAGCCTGTACGATTTGTAGACTCTGTTTCCTGTTCTTGGCTGACAGGAGTGGCACCCGGAGTGGTTGTCTGCTCCTGTAGCCCATCTGCTTCAGGGTTTGACTTGTGCATCCAGAGATGCTATTCCGCATACCTTGATTGTAACAAGTGATTATTTAAGTTACTGTTGCCTTTCTATCATCTCAAAACAGTTGCCCATTCTCCTCTGACATCAACAAGACATTTTCGTCCACACAACTGCTGCTCACTGGATATTTTCTTTTTCAGACCATTCTCTGTAAACCCTAGAGATGGTTGTGTGTGAAAATCTCAGTAGTTTTTTAAATACTCAGACCAGCCTGTCTGGCACCAGCAACCATGCCACGTTCAAAGTCACTTAAATCCCCCTTTTTCCCCTTTCTGATGCTTGGTTTGAACTTCAGCAAGTCATCTTCACCACATCTACATGCATTGAGTTGCTGCCATGTGATTTGGCTGATTAGCAATTTGTCTTACCAAGCAATTGAACAGGTGTACCTAATAAAGTGGCCGTGAGTGTATATTTATATTATGCACACATAATGGTACCTGTAATTCTCTTCCCTTGGTTAGGTGAAGAATCCTGTTCCCCGTGTAAGACACCCAGACTGGCTACATAAGAAGTTGCTTGAGAAGAATGACATCTATAAGCAGAAGAGGATAAATGAATTGTTCACTGTTGAAGGCAAAAAAACAGGTTGACTATAGATTTTGTCTCCCAGGAAACCTATTATTCTACCACCTTGATTTAAATGCCTGGTTTTCTGACTACTACCCTCCTAAGTATACATGCATTTTTTTTTCTTTTTTTAGTTTTGGATAGAGTGGGAGCGGGTTAAAACCTATTTTGGGCAGTGTTCTACAAGTGCTAAATAAACGCCAACCAAAGAACTCTGATTACATACTGTTAAAGTGATATGTTTGGCATATAGCTTAAGTAATGCTTGCATAAGGAAAATTAAAGTACGGTTAAAGTGATTAGTTATCAAAAGAATAAGATTTATATTTTTTACTTATATTAAAGCCCCTTTCCACGATAAAAATTAATTTTTGCCTCGAGTGGGTATGTAAGATGGCTTTTTCTTCCAATTCTGTCAAGTACATTATCCGCATTACCCAGTAACCACTTCTGCTGTACTTTTGTTTTTAGATTGTCCATAAGGTGGAGCTGTTCTCTAAAACTCTGGTTAATGCTTTTTTTTTTTTTTTTTTTTTTTTTTTATGCTTTGCCATCTTTGCAAATTGTGTTAGTAAGCAGATAAATCTGGTCATCATTGTTTCATAGTCTCTGCCTTTACTTAAAATGATATCCATTCTAGGCTTTAGAGTGAGCTTGCATTCATGAATATTTAGTAATTTCCCAACAATGCTTGCTTTTACCCTAGTTTCTGCTTTGAAGTGATCTCATTAAGTCTTAATTACTGGTTGTGTGGTATTTGAGTTGCAGTTGTGAAAATGCTCATGCTTCCATTGACAATTCACATGAAACCATAGTGGTTTGGTAATTAGATCGGATACAGTATGAACACTGTTTCCATATTGCATCCGGCAATTAGATATTTGCTAACAGGATTTTTTATCCAGAGCAATGATAATGACATTTTAACCCACAGTGAGATGGAAATTACTTTTTATTCAGAAGTAATATCCAAGCACAGAAACATTACAACTGCTTATGTGAAATTAGGCTTAAGATTCTTTTGCTGATGAAGACCCCCCCCCCCCCGAGGTCATACTTGAGACCGACAGACACAATGTACTGTAGAGTACAAAGTTATTTGTGATGCTGAATTGTGCATCTGGGTTATGTTGTAAGGTCAAATTTTTTTTTCTGTCACTTTGGTCATTGGAATATAGCCGTTATCGTGTTTTTCATACAATGACATAAAACTTTGAATAATAGCATCAGTGACTGGTAAATTAACTATACAAGAGCAGTAGATGTCATCATCAGTGTGGTTGCTCAGTAGTCACTTTGGGAACAGACAGGTCTGAGATGTTTTTTTTTTTTTCTTCTTTTTTTTTTTGAAGAGCAGCTTTACCTTATGTGTTTAGTTTTATTTGCAGTAACATATTGCTGATCACAAGGAGTTTTTGCTGTTTATATTAAGGTAACAGCTCAGCTCCAGGAGCAAGATCCTTCTCAGACTCCAGATATCGAAGATTTTGGTGTAGGAAAACGCCTCCAGCCTGCTATTCCTATAAGTACAAAAAGGAAACGTATACCGACAGCTGAGGAAAGCCAGGGTGACTCCCAAGATGTGGCACTTACACAGTCTTGGAGAGAGGTCCTGGGTCCTCCTCCTCCTCTTGGTACTACAAAAGTGAGTTAATTGTTTTCTTTTACTGTCTCTGGTTTTTATTTGCTGGTTTCCAGGAGGTAGATATATAACATCTGTCTCATGCCCTCTGTAGGAAGAGAGACTTCTCTGGTTGCGTTACCACAAGAAAAAGTGGGAGCTTCAGGCTCGCCAGCGCAAAGATCGTCAAAAGAAGCGTCGTTTAGAGGATGGAGATGCAGCTTCCGGAGCAGGAGGTATAGTTCGAGAAACCCAAGCTGCTGGGTTAGGCAACTTCCTGCGTAGAACGGCTCGTAGCATCCTCGACATGCCCTGGCAGATCGTGCAGGTTTCTAATATTATCTTATGTACATTTTTAGTATGTTGCATCACACCTACTGTCAAAATAAATGTTATTCTCTTTTTATAAAGATCGGAGATAGTAGCCAACCAGGTATCTTCCGTTTATGGGCTGTGATTGGCAGCGACCTGCATTGCATCAAGATCAATATACCACGCATTTTCTTTGTCAATCAGCGTGTGCCCAAAACAGAGGAGGGCGCAGTGTACAGAAGGGTGAGTACCAGAAATGCTTTAGCTTATAATAATTGTATCCAGGAGTTAGGGTTGTTTAAAACCCTTTTCAGTACTATATAGAATGTAGAAGCAGTTAATGTCTAAAAATTATAAATATTTGCTGGAGTGATGTTTATTTTTTTTGGGGGGGGTGTGCCATTTTTGTCTTTTTAAATCTTGCAGCGTAAAGCAATATCCAGGCAAAAAACATAACATTACAATATTAGCAAATACTATGATGACTCTGATATTATGTGGTAGACTCTACATGTACCATTAAATTGAATTTATTCTGTCTTCTGCAGGTGAACAGAATCTTACCTCGCTCCAATCCAGTGTACCACCTGTATGAGTATTCAGTGCCTGAAGACATGTACCAGGAGCACATCAATGAAATCAATGCAGACTTGTCTGCCCCCGATATTGAAGGAGTGTATGAGACTCAGGTAGTTGCTCTGTATGTTTTTGAGGCTACATTAACAATTTGGCAGTAGTTGCTTGCCGCATATTTTCATGTAAATTTAGATGTTAGGCCAAGTGGTTATGTTTAACAAAAAAGGGAAAATCTCAAATAAACTGTATAAGCACAAGCAAAATAGAAATTTCTACTGAACTTACACTTTCATGAAGTATGTGTTTAATAGTTCTTGCTTGTTAATTTGCATACTTAGGTCCCTTTGCTGCTGCGGTCTGTGGTCCAGCTTGGATGTGTGTGCATGGTGAATAAGCAGATGGTTCGGCACTATTCTGGAAGAGAAACGGACACCTTTGAGCTGGATTGCTTAGAAATGAAGTCTCTTGCTCAGTATAGCTACCTAGAGCCAGGTATTCAAAAATGGCAAAAGAAACCAGCTATATCTCCTGTTTGTTTATTTAATATGGGTAGTTTTAACATCTGATTCTTTAGTGGTAGAAGAGGTTGTTACTTTGGCCTTGTTTTACCAGTTCCCAGTCAGTATAGTGTCTTTAGCCTATACCTTTGTTTATGTGGACTTGCTTCAAGTGCTTAGATTACTTGTCACCTTCCAAGCACATGATTGTATATTTGCGGTAAGGACATTAAACTTTCTCTTTTGGGGGGGCTGGAACCATTCTGATTAATTCATTGTTTTCTGTAAAGCATAATTTGCCAAATATTCACATAGACGTGTTTTTGCTTGTGCAGCTTTTTTGGGTGCTGAAGCATACACTTAATGGGGTGATTCACAAATTTCCCTTACCTCAACTTCTAAATACTATCTTATTGACATTTACATGCCAGTGCATGATGTTGTTTTAATTTTTTTTCTTCCAGGAAGTATCCGGCATATTTACTTATACCACAATTCTCAAGGGCACAAAGCCCTGTTTGGACTTTTTATACCATCTCAGAGAAAAGCTTCTGTGTTTGTAGTGGACACGGTGAGATCCATACGAATCTTTATAAAAATATGCGTAATAAAAATAGAAAACCCCTGCACTGTTACAACTCACAACTATAAATAAATAAAAATAAGTCACATTGAATCAGGAAAGTAGCTATCACCCAACTGTGCAATCACTCCACTGTGTTAATGAATCAAAAACAAATACTGATTAGGCGCTTCCAATATGGCATAACACATCAAATATCTTCTAACCTCATACCATAACCCTTTATCATAAACAGATCCCCCCAGTATTCAGTATCCTTTTGTGAATGTGCAAATATATAACTCTTAAAGCATAAGAAAATAATAATGTATAGTCCAATGTGAGAGTCCCATGCACCAACCAATCTTTGTGCAATCTTCAATCGATATATTAATTCTTGACAGAAAAACAATATGGCTTTCTTCAGCATGAACAAACACCACTGTGCCCTTCACCACACCCCATGGGTATCTCCTCGCCTTATATCATGGTCCCCACTGCAAAAGGAGGGTCAATTGTGCTTTTATCTTAGAGACCATGATCTTCTTCAGCATTCACCTGGTCAGTACCGATCTCCCAGGAGTAGATATATTGAAAGGAAGCAAAGAAACAACCAATAGTGACTGCTAGTTTATTGCCATAAGAAAGTTAAAATTCCACTCACATGTTAAAAAGTTCATAAAAGCATATCACAGTCTATTGGCATACTTGACTTTCCAAAATGGCATCTAAGCTTCGCCCAGTGTGATGAGGTCACTGCCCATCTGACGCATTGCGCCTCAGTCGGCTTTCTCAAAGGCTCCAGCTTTTGCGATTTACTCTATTGTGTAATGTTTAGAATTATAGGGGGTTCTTTTGGGCATTTTTTTAAAATAAGAGATGTCACTATAAAACATTCATTATTGCAACCTATAATTCTGTTCTGTTATATAGGTCCGTAGTAACCAGATGCCAAACCTTGGCAATATGTATGCCAGCGAACACAGCTCCATGCAGGAAAAAGTTGATCCAGAACTTTTACCTCCAGAAAAACATGTGTTTGAGGTTCGAGCAGAAACTGACTTGAAAACAGTCTACAGGGCTATCCAGAGATTACTTTTAAGTTACAAAGTAAGTAGAATGTCCACTAACGACCTAACTTGACAGAAAAAATGCAAGCACTAAAGTAGAGTTTTTATATTTCTTAGGATGAGAGGCGTGGTCCAACCTTGATTGCAGTACAGTCTAACTGGCCCTTAAAGAGGCTAACAAGTGGAATGCCTGTTTTGGAAGAGTTCCCTCTTGTGCCAGTACGTGTGACAGATGACATAAACTATAATGTTCTGGATTGGCAGCGGCATGGTGCTCGGCGAATGATCCGCCATTATCTTAATTTGGACAGCTGTCTGTCACAGGCTTTTGAGATGGCCAGGTAAGTGGTGCCACAAGTATAATCTTTTTAAAGGTTATGTAGTATGGCCAAATTGAAGAAGAATTCTCTGCATGAATCTGAATAATCTGGTGTGCGCCAGCAAAGGCAATAACATAGCTAGAGGTAACCTGAAGAAAAGTCTTATAAAAACACACACTGCAGAGATCCAGTATAATATACACTGATCAGCCATAACATTATGACAACTGATCTTAATCTGTTGCAGTATGGACTCCACTAGACCTCTGAAGCTATGCTGTGGTATCTGGCACCAAGCTGTCAGTGTAATGGTTGTGCGTATTATGCACATGGAAACCTGTAAGTGACAGCCATTTTTTTTTTTTTTTTCATAAGCCAAGTAATTTTACCCCCTCCCCCCTTCTGCAATATATGGCATTCATAGATTTAACTTTTAACGCACATCAAAAGAGCCTGTTCTCTCAACTTAGGGACAGCTGTCACCATCCCACAGGCCTTGGTCAGGGCTATAAACAGCTAATTGAGACCTGGCAGGATGTCTGTTTCTACAGACCATGAAAAACTCTACAGATTAACGCTTCCCTCTGACCTATTGTAAAGCAATGACAAAATCTGTCCGTTCTGTCACACATGATCTGTAGGGCAATTAAAGCACTAGGAACACGAAGCACGCCATAAAACATCTACACAGAAAGCCGTCAGGCATGGGTGACCTCTCTGAGACCTCTGCCTAAATTCACAACAACCTAACCAAAAACCTCACACGATTCATAAAATCCAACAGGACCAATACCATTAATATTAAGTACATATTTGAATGGTGAAAATCATACTGAATAAATCCAGGTCATACATGACTAAGCTAGAACACACAAAAGGGGAGAAAACATTCTCCTCCCTCCTGGGTGACAGACCCATCCAAAGTGCTCTGTGTTTGGTATCCCTGAACACGAAATATAATGCTGAACAATAGTCTACCAGTTTCCAGAATGCAAATCTGTACATAGTGGAAGATATTGATATTAGTATAAAACTGTGTGTAAGGGATAGTCATTGAGCGTGGTGACCTCCAAGCCACCAACCCTTAAACTGAGTAATTGGTCAGATGGTCTCTGTCAACACCCCTTTGATGGGGGAAAAAAAGGAAAGGAAATGTGACAGCTCTTGTTTTAACATCAAAAAAGTAAAACCTAACCAGACTTGAGAGAGCCACTTCAGCCTCTGCTAAATCCAAGGACTTTGCAAGTATTCTTCCTTTTCAACTCCTTTTTAATTCTCTGTTGCTTTATGGTCTCTTTATTTCTTTGTACCAACATCTTTTTTTCTGTAAATATTTGATTTGCACCGTTTTTACCTTTTCATTGTTCAACCCTATTCTTAAAAGTGTTAAAACTGTCCCTAAGGCTTTTAATGAAAACTAAAGAATCCCTGTTTGTTGAACAGTGCTACTGTCAGGGCTCCCGGGTATGACCAGAGGTGTGTGACTGACGCAGGGAAACGCAGACTTCAGATATGTTATAAACAATATAATTTATTGACACTAACAATACAAACATAAACGCAGTGCAATACTAAAACATAACACAGTGCCAACAAACCAAACCAACCACCCACAGATAACAGTACATACAATGCAAGCGTCGTCAGGCAGGCCGGGTCAATATCAATCGGGCAGGTAGGTACAGGGGGAGCAAGCGGAGAATGGTCGGGGTCACAAGCCAGGTTCAGAAGGTAGCGGATAGCGTGGTACAGAGGGTCAGGCAGAGGAGAATGGTCAGACAAGCCAGGGATCAGGAGCAGGAGAAAGGTCAGACAAAGCCAGGGATCAGAGCAGGGTCAGCAGAGAATCAGACAGGGACAGGGAGCAGGAACAGGATACAGGGCCCAGGAGAAACACACACCAAGGCCGAGTCTGCAGGTCTGGCCATCCCTTAAATACACCAGTATAATCAGTTCCAGGTGTTTGACTGGCTGCAAGGTTGAGTCTCTGATTGCTGGGAGCACCCGCTGGCCAGCCCTGGTACTGCAGCTCATAAGGCAGGTGAGTCCCACCATTGCTGGCCAGTCCATTCCTGACAGTACCCCCCCCTCAAGGAGCGGCCTCAGGACGCTCCAAACAGTCCTAGCTGGGCAAAATGTTCCACCGCCCGGGTCTGGTAACTGGCGGGATATCAAAGACTGGCACACCGGGCAGGACTCCGGGCAGCGGCACACCGGGCAGAGGCACACCGGGCTGGACTCCGGGCAGAGGCACACCGGGCTGGACTCCGGGCAGAGGCAGACCGGGCTGGACTCCGGGCAGAGGCACACCGGGCTGGACTCCGGGCAGAGGCACACCGGGCTGGACTCCGGGCAGAGGCACACCGGGCTGGACTCCGGGCAGAGGCACACCGGGCTGGACTCCGGGCAGAGGCACACCGGGCTGGACTCCGGGCAGAGGCACACCGGGCTGGACTCCGGGCAGAGGCACATCGGGCTGGACTCCGGGCAGAGGCACATCGGGCTACCAGGCGGAGCGGCAGCGGCAGGGCCACCAAGCGGAGCGGCGGGCAGCGGGCCACCGGGCGGAGCGGCAGCGGCGGGCAGCGGGCCACCGGGCGGAGCGGGGCAGCGGGCCCCCGGGCGGGGCGACGGGCAGCAGGCCCCCAGGAGGGGCGACAGGCATCGGGCCCCCAAGCGAAGGGGCGACAGGCATCGGGCCCCCAAGCGAAGGGGCGACAGGCATCGGGCCCCCAAGCGAAGGGGCGACAGGCATCGGGCCCCAGGCAGAGACGACGGGCGCCGGGCCCCCAGGATAGGCGACGGGGGCCCCCAGGAGGGGCGACAGGCATCGGGCCCCCAGGAGGGGCGACAGGCATCGGGCCCCCCGGCGGGGGGGTGACGGGCATCGGGCCCCCCAGCGGCGGGCGGAGCGGGCGCGCGGGCCCCCAGGAGGGGCGACAGGCATCGGGCCCCCAGGCAGAGCGGCGGGCGCCGGACCCCCAGGCGGAGCGACAGGTCTCGGGCCCCCAGGCGGAGCGACAGGTCTCGGGCCCCCAGGCGGAGCGGCGGAGCGGCGCTGGACCCCCAGGCGGAGCGGCGGGCACCGAGTCACCAGGCACGACAGTGGGCTCCGAGTCAACTGGCATGACCGCTGGCACTGGGTCAGACATTGGATCGTCTGGCTGGACAGCAGGCATCGGGTCACCAGGCATCAGGTCATTTGGCTCGACAGCGGGCACCGCGGCATCTGGCAAGGCAGTGGGCTCCGAGTCAACTGGTATGACTGCGGGCACTGGGTCAGACATTGGATCGTGTGGCTGGACAGCGGGCATCGGGTCACCAGGCATCAGGTCACTTGGCTCAACAGCGGGCACCACGTCATCTGGCAAGACAGTGGGCACCAAGTCACCAGGCACGACAGTGGGCTCTGAGTCAATTGGCACGACAGCGGGCACCGGGTCATCAGGTACCGGATTGTCTGGCTCGACAGCGGGCACTGGGTCACCAGGCATCAGGTCATTTGGCTCGCCAGCGGGCACCGCGTCATCTGGCAAGGCAGTGGGCACCGAGTCACCAGGTACGACAGTGGGCTCTGAGTCAATTGGCACGACAGCGGGCACCGGATCAGGTACCGGATCATCTGGATCAACAGCGGGCATAGAGTCAACTGGCCTAATAGGATCGTCAGGCTGGATCAGTTCATCATGCTGGGTAGAGGCATCAGGCTGAATGCAGGCTTCAGGCTGAGTAGAGGCTTCAGGCTGAGTAGAGGCTTCAGGCTGAACCACGGAAGGCAGGTTCTCAGACGGCAGGCTCACCGGTTTGGATACTGGCAGGATGGTATTGGTTGGAAAGAATTTTCACTTTTTTCTGGTTTTAACTCCTGGAGCACTGCAAGTAAACGCAGGTCTGCAAACGAATGGAGCAGCTGGAGACAGAGAAGAGCTGGAGGATGGAACAGAGGAGGGAGCAGTTGCTACAGAGGGCTTTTTTACAGGGTTAAAGGCAGGATAGGTGCAGCGAGTGGGAACAGGGTACTGACATGCGGTAGATAGCAGGGCAGGAGGAGCTGTTGGGAATGCAGGAATAGAGCTTTGAGGAAATAGATTAGAAGCAGGACTGGGTTTTTGTAGGCTGACTGAGGCTGGGTGCAACAAATCTGTCCATGTCTGCAGTATGGGTTGAACAAAGCTGAGCTTCGACAAAGCCTGTCTGGTCAATGACTGCACTGCGTTTATACAATCTCTTAGTATCTGTGGTGAACATGCAGCATAATGCTCCAAGAAGCAATCCACATCATCCTCTAATAACCATACCAGGGACTCTACCTGGTCGGCACTAAATGGCGGCAAAAATTCATCCCTGCATTCGGGGGGGTACCAGATGAAACCAACTCAGCACAAATCTGAATCAATGGCTGCACCTCAGAGAATTCTGTGCCCTGATCTACTAGAACATGAGCGAGCCGTATACATTCTAGCAGTTCATCCCGGGGATACTCCTTCAGAGTTTGATAAGCATACTCTCTGTCATCAAACACTAGCAGATATAAATACACAACCTCATCCAGATCCATCCTTCCCATCAACAAACCAAGATGGCTTCCCTGTGCAGCCACTTCTGGTCAGGATTGGCCTTGGTGTAATGTCAGGGCTCCCGGGTATGACCAGAGGTGTGT